TTATTATTCATATTGTCATTAGACACAAGCGCCCACAGACCGTGTTCACCGACGAGGGGACGACTCCACGTGGCCTCGAGACAACAGGCTGCATCGATCTTAAGTTCATCAAGTACTTAAAATGTACTTAAAAAAAAATTTGGGGGGGAAAATTGGAAATCTCTTCACACGGAAAATGTTTTAAGGGACTTCTAGATTATGCAACTGGATTCAGAAATAGAGGAATTAGTGTTACAACTAATAATATGGTGACTAATGACTGGTGTCATTTCCTCATTGATTATTAAAGCACAAATCATCCCAAAATACTTCTTCTGCCCCTTTCTCTATCCTCACATTTAAGTGAATATTTAAAAAGGACTTATGACGCCCGCAGGGATTCATCGTTATATTTTATATGAACTGTGAGGTTATCTGACGTTAATGCTCTCTAAGATGAAGAAACAAGTATGAAAGTACGACAAAATTTGAGATCTTTCCCCCGTGTTTGTTTCAGCAAAGTTGATTCCTCGACACATGAAAATATGAACCACATGTGTGTTTGTCTGAATAACTGCATGAACATGCAAGAAACATAAAATCCCCAGAATTAACTAACTTTTCACCGAGACAATGTTGTGCCAAAAAGAAGCCGTCCACACAGGTCATTGGACATTGTGACCAAAGTGTAAGCTTTATACTTTATAGCTGCAATATTACAGATTCATTTTTAACGTAGTACAACTTTGTCCCCATAATGGTACTTTATACTCATAAAATTCTGACTTAACTGCTGCCTGACAGATATAAATGATGAGCAGAAAAACAGTAATGTGTGACAGATTCACTTATAAATGGAATCTTCCCAGCACACATGGCTAAATGACTGCAGGCATGAGTATAATCATGTTGAGAGCAAGGAGAGCACTGAGGATGTTGAGCTAATCTAATCTGTTTTATTTTGGAGGGATGTGGGCGGCGGATGATTTGTAACGGTCTAATTTAGGAACCATGCTGAAAAGACATACAGGACACAAGCGTCTGTGTTCTGTTTATTAATAAGACATTTGCAATCCAGGTTTTGCATATGTGGTGTGGATGAAGACTGCTGAGGAATCTGATGATATGGGGAGATAAGTGACAGAAATCTTTTCACAGAATTTTAACTGCAATTACATTTTTCTTATGTTTTACTGGCTTTAGTTATTATAACAGGTTCTTTCCCATGGTTTCAGGAGACCTGTTTGAGGATAGACAGCTGCAATAGTTTGATAAGTGGTAAACATGATAGCTGAATTGCATTTTGGACCTCTAGTTTTGCAAAGCTTTGAAAAACTCAGTGGGGAGGTATTATGTAAATTGGAGGGACTCTAATGTCTCTAATGTATTATAAATTATTACCATAATTATTATAAATTCATGATACAATAATATACAATGTTATAATTGACCGACTAATTAATCAATCAAATTAAATATACCGTATTTTGTACGTACTGTATTCTACCAAGCAACATCGCCATCTAGTGTCTGAACGTCCACGTTACGTTCGAGCAGTCAAAGTAAAGGGGTCTCCCGTGACGTCATCACGTCCAGACTGACGTTGTTGGACTTCGTAGCGTCACCTTCTGGTCGTCTAGTGTGGCGTTAGCCGACCGTTTGAACCCACCTTTCAGCTAAGTACCGTGGATAAATAAGGTATGCACCGGATAATGATACTTCCAGTTCGCACGTTTGCTTTGTCACACGTTATGAAAAGGTTTAACCTCTAGTGGACACTCGTAAATGAGAGCTAACGGTACATGAGCTAACTTTACTTGCTAATCCATGCACGCCCCCCCCGCCAAACTCCGCTTAAGATACAACTACTTTAAAATCACTCCCTGAGGATGATTTATACACCTGTTTTGGTATCGAAACGCTGTTTTGGGCTACATGAATAATGCATCTTGTTAAACTGGCCGTATTGCGTTCACTAATTCTAATCAATGATGTAATTCAACGTTAGCTATTGATTTGACAGCGTTTCTATTTGTACATGTAATTATCTGTGTTACAGCCGCCATAATGCGTCCTTATGTGTGGTGCAGAACTGTGCATAACATACATTACTGTTAAATAACACTTAACTATCTTGACTATATTGACATAAGTTAATTACGTTACCTTTTGTAAAAAGGTCCTCAACGTGCTCCCGAGACAACAATAGTTTCAGTTAATTGACACTATCCCAAAATGTCCATACTGAAATACTTTTCTTTTGCAGTGGGTTTAGTCTAGCTGTCGTTTGAAATAAGCAACAGCAGTAGCAAAATATGTATTATTGTTTTAATCATGATTGCAGGTATTCGTACGTGCACCTTGACAAACACAATTCTCATTCTGCTCTTTCCACAGAGCAGCATGGCCCTCACTCAGGTGTCCTCCAACAGGTGCGCTGGGGGCTTCCAGAAGGTTTTTGAACATGAAAGGTGAGATTTGTGTGCCAAAGCCTCAAAAGTACACACACACACACCTATGAAGGTATGCATTCATGTACGTTTGTGTTTCTTCATGCAGCACCGAGCTCAAGTGTAAGATGAAGTTCGCCGTCTATCTGCCTCCGAAGGCTGAGACCGACAAGTGTCCCGTCATGTACTGGCTCTCTGGTGATGTATATTGGATATCATATATATGTGTAGCCTGATAACAACTGAGGGAATCCATTTAAAATGCAAAGAAAGGTCTACCGTGTCTACTGGTGTGTTTAGAAAATCACCAGACTCGGTGGATTTTAACTCATCCCATGTTTCTCTGCAGGTCTGACGTGTACGGAGCAGAACTTCATCACCAAAGCAGGCAGTCAGGTCCCGGCTGCAGAGCACGGCCTCATCGTGGTCGCCCCGGACACCAGTCCACGTACGAAAGCACACGCTGGCAGTAAAACAAACACACCTGTGTGGGGGGGGGGGGGGGAGATACAGCTTAATTTGACCCGATGAATAACTTTCATAATATGTTGTGGTACCTCAGAAAATTGAGATGGTCTCCTGTCAAACGCTTTTGACGCGTCGTCTTTTCCCAACATGCATCAGGTGGCTGCAACATCGAGGGCGAGGATGAGAACTGGGATTTTGGCACCGGGGCTGGTTTCTACGTCAACGCCACGCAGGACCCCTGGAAGACCAACTACCGCATGTACTCCTACATTACCGAGGAGGTGCGTTGGACACCTGAAAAAAACCCTCGAGCTTTTGTTTTTTTACACGAGTGTCCCTGACAGTCTCTCTCTCTCTCTCTCTCTCTCAGCTCCCCAAATTAATCAACGCTAACTTCCCCACGGATCCAGACAAGATGTCCATCAGCGGTCACTCCATGGGCGGCCACGGGGCGCTCATCTGCGCCCTGAAGAACCCTGGGAAATACAAGGTATCGGCCTATCGTTCAGGAAGCAACCAGATGACTGATTATCGTCAACCATCCTCCCATCAACAGTTTATTCAGAGTAAATGTAACACGTGAAAGTGTGTGTAAGAGCATTGAGAGCAATGTGAGAGTGCACGTGCTTGGTGGATAAAGCTGACTGATGCTTCCCGCAGGCCGTGTCCGCATTCGCCCCCATCTGTAACCCCATGCAGTGCCCCTGGGGGCAGAAGGCCTTCTCGGGTTACCTGGGCCCCGACAGGTCCGCGTGGGAGGTGAGATAATAACTAATAATTACACACGCCGAGGACTGTCAATCATTGACAATCGACGCTGCATCAGTGAGCAGGTGATTATTAGCATGAAAGGAAACCACTAAAACTGGTGAATTCAGTGTCCTCACCACAAACTCACTGTGTTCACTGATGCCAGAGACAAATAAAACCAAAATGTAATTTCATGGTTGTGCGGCAGTTTAAGGGTCCTCTCCCCCCTCGCTCAGGCGTACGATGCCACCGTGCTGGCGGCGGCGTACTGCGGCCCTCAGCTCGACGTCCTCATCGATCAGGGCCGGGACGACCAGTTCCTCTCCGCCAGCCAGCTGCTGCCCGACAACCTGATCGCCGTCTGCTCCGAGAAGAAGGTGCCCGTGGTCTTCAGACTGCAGCCGGTCAGTTCCAACACGCGTCTGCTAACTGATCAGCATGACAGTTGCATGCTGGGTAAAGCACCTCCCGGTGACATGTGGTCAAGTGGGTTTGTTTTTATTCGGGTAATCGCTTTATTTTTCCTTTACGGTCTGGTTTAAACTTTAACGTTAAAACATGGTGAAGTAATGTTTGTCCTCCGTCTGTAAAATAACCATTAATAACTCACTATAAATATCAAGTAAAAAGACTGCAGAAAATCATTCATCAACATTTTATTACAAAAACTATCATCTCTGTTCTTAAGGATCTGCTAACAAAGTGCCTTATTTCCGGTTTATTCATATTTTGTTGCAAACTCTCGTCTTTACGCAAGTCGTCCGTCTGATCTTATTGCTGGAGCTTCCTTTTGACCACAGATCTATTGTGCAACTCTCGTCTGACACCGAAGGATATGAAATGAAAGCAGCAAAATGTACTTATTAAAGTTCGAGACCTTGAAGTCGTGTCTCCTCCCGCAGGGCTACGACCACAGCTACTTCTTCATCTACTCCTTCATGAGCGATCACATCAAGCACCACGCCAAGTTCCTCAACGCCTGATCAGCCACCACAGAAGATGTCAATCGCCAGCAGAGCGTCCTCCGTTCCCTGGAAACCAAATCCCACAACTTTGACCTTCCGTTTAATGTCTCAAACCTTTGGATGATTGAGCCAGTGGAAATTTAAAAAGAAAAGTTTGATCAAGAATAAAATTCTATTCATTCGTTCTTAACTCTTGTGGACAAGTACACTATCTTCATGTTAAGACACGGAGCAACTTTTATGAATCTTGTCACATGGACTTTACTGGTTCGAAGTGCTCGTATGAATCTATTTATTGCCTTTATACGCTCGACCTCTGACCTCAGCGAAGCATGTTTTTAGTGCTGAAGGAAATAGTTTGCGCATGAAGTACTCCCACTTGGTTGCATTATTTAGACAGAGGTCTTTACTGATAGTGATGACAAATACAGTGCATTATATACAGTATTCACAGCAGTTTAAGGCAACATTAAAGGGACATTTCATGCATTTCAATGTACACAAAAGGGTCAGAGTTACATCAAAGTCACATAAAAAATAAATTTCCTCCCAGTCAGAAAAAGTACAAAAATGTGATCACGGGCCATTTCTGGACAATGTTTATATACAAAATAAGACATTAAAAGCAACACTGCTTCAGCAGGTCTGATTCACCACATTTACACAATGTACATCAGCGTCACATTTCTTAACTCGGTTCTCTCGTTTCAGATTAAAAAGGTGATTTAAGATTCTCAGTTGCCAAAACAAAGATATAAATATAGAAGTTTAAAGTGCAGATTCTGTCTGGGAAGCAGCCGGTTTGGTTTTATTGCTTTTTTTCCCCCCAAAATGAATGTGATGCAACGAGTACAAAACTGGATATGAAATATGATTATAAGAAGTAATGTTCATTTAGAACAAGTACATTGAAATAACTTTGCTAAAACCACCCATATTCTTATAATGCTGAATTATTTGACTGTTTTTAGCAGGTGTTTCCAATTAAATCAAAAGTATCCATAATATCCATCCGTGTACGCAAGACATATGGAAAAAAGTTGGTTGCTCTACTTCTAAAATACTGTTGTCAGATAACACAAGCTGATATAATGAATATAAAGCAGTTCCATTACTTCACCACGCTGACCATAGTGTCGAAAGATGTGAACATTTATTTATCTTGTATCTTATACGTGTTATTGTGGAATAATCAGATGAGTGTTTTCAGAAATATACAGCACACAAGGAAAGACATTAATCACTATTTTTTCAAACATTAATTCAAGAGCAGGAAATCCTTGTGATAAATAATATGTACACAGGCTACAGTACATTTAGTTTAAGTAGATGTTTGTTTTGGCAACTGTCAAATCGATCCAGTGGAAACATTCATTTTAGCATTTCTTACTGCTGAATCTTGATGTAGCTTTTGGTGACAAGTTGCATCTTATGTACAGAAAAGAAACCTAATCACTCATCCATATGAGCCTGCTGGTCCAAGAGTGTCGAGACACTTGTGGTTTCCTTATGGCGTTCAGGAGACACGCAATCTGATCTCAGACCTGCCAGGAGGTTTTAAAAGGGGCAGAACGTGGATCCAGAACAACTCAAAGTTACCGACATGATTCATGTCTTAATATAATCTAGTCATCACATAGACGTCTTCTTTCCTTCAACAACACTTTTTGTAAGAAGATTAAAAATCAAGCGTTTTGATACTTTAGTATTTGAGAAGTCAATAATCATATTCTATCAAAATAATTCTATTATCATTTAAAGAAAATACTAACTCTGCCGGTGATGTTTATTATAATTATCCAGCGGCTACGGCTTCATCCAGAAAGAGGAAATATTTTATATTAAACTGGGAAAAGCGGTCGATCAGATTCCCGGAATGAATTAATTCAGATTAAGGAAAGACGGAACCATCTCTGGAGATTATTATAATATTATATGAAACATAATCAGCTGCTGCAGTTGTTAGGAAGATCAATCCAGTTCGTTTAACACAAACTTACTGCCCCTTCAAAATAAAACCTAGTGATCTTCATAACCACATGATTCGGGCCAACTAGCCCCTCCTTTGTACACACAGAAGCACTCAGTCACATGACCTCTGACCTCACCCACGCACGCAGTGGGAGCCATGATATCAGATTTAGATTTTGTGATAAATGCCATCGTGAACATATAATCATCTAAAACAGAACTCTGACATTTGCCAGGCGTGTCTCTGTGTGGAAGCTGATGGACATCTACACGTGAACTCAAGATGCTCCGACGGTTTCAGCTTGAAGATGCAGACGTGGTTTTCTTTTTACTTTGTGTGTCGCATTAAGAGAAATCAATCTAAAAAATAAAACATTAATTGCTCAAATCAGCGGTTGAAATCACTGAAAAAGTCCTGCAGACGCCTTGAGTGAGCACGGACTGACTACACGTAGGAAAAGATTCAAGGTGAGGAAAAAAACTAAAAGACGGATACCTGTGAGAGTCAATCCGAGATGCTTGATAAACAGACGTGGTTCAAGGACACAGACCTCCACAGAAAGTCAGCAAAACTTCTAGAAAACTGTCTAAATTATAGCTAAAATATATTAGAGAAAAATATTTTTTGGCATATCTTTTCGAAAGTGTACAACGGCTCAAATGGCTTATCTTTATATTATAAATATCTTTATGTTTAAATACAAATTGTGGTTAAAACTTGCCTCATCCTCTATGTTAAAACTAACCTTTTGGTTTTACTCACTAAGTCGGTGAGACTTCTTCACGGTTTGGGGCACTTGATGGGCTTATGGTCTTATTTCTTATTTAAATAATTGAATGTCTCTGCAACTATTTTTGTACAACAGAGTTTTAGGACCACGGTTGTGGAGAAAAACAAAAAATAAATGTGTATTATGTCACATTTTTATGAAAAATAAATTAGTAAATTTGAGTAATTATTGCAAAATAACAAAACACTTTACGCCAAACGTTGTAATACTGCTGCTTTATTCTTAAAATATGAATCATTTTAAGAAAAAAGTAATATCCCGATTTGGAAAAAAAGCCTTATTTTCAGAAGCATCAAAGGCCATTTTTAATACCACACTTCTTTAAAATACAATTTTAAAAAGTGTTTTATGTAGTAGAATGTGACTTCATCTTCTAATATTCTTACTTTTGTTTTACTCCAATATTGTAACCTCGTCCGGAGAAGCAACAGGTGACCTGTCAAAGTGGCCCTAATACTTTGACAGGTCTTTTTTTTGGTACAACCAACGAAAGGATCCTTCCTTTCTTTTTAATCCTAGAGTTGTATTTATGCCCTTCAGTTGACGTTTTGCATCTCTTGTGTTTCAAGAAATGGAGGAAATCTGTGTTCATTTCACTCACACCTCCCGCGCTTAAAAAAAAAACCCCATTAAAGGTGAGGAATCACCTGGAACCATAAGATGCTGGAACATGACACCTGTATGGAAGCAATATGACTCCGCCCACAAGTTCCCTCCCACAAATCAGCAAATAAATCGTTTGTTCCCTGAACACCATTTTGCATCCTTGGATCTAACGTAATCACTCCGTCACTGGGAATGCATGCAGAACGATCGCGGCGGCGTGCCGCGGTTTTGATCCAGGTGTGCGTTTGTTTTACGTGTCGGTTCAGGGGAAGCTCCGCCCGTGTCCGCCGCTCACGTCAGGAGGGCGTTTCTGGGCGACGCCTCCTCCACCAGCGCCTGCACCGTGACGCACAACTTCACCAGGCCCTTCTCCTCCAGGATGTGGTGAGGAAGACACAGTTTGTCCTGCGAGAGCAGAGTCAGAGGGACGCGGAGGAGCAGATGTGGAGGCAGAGAAGAGACACAAAGGATTTAGAGACCAAAACTCTGCAGAGTTTGGCACATGCCGGGCTGCACACGGATGCACTGCGTCCAGGAGATAGCCACAGCCCACAGTCTAACACGGCTTGTCCCGCGCGTCCTCGACTTTTACATATTCATTTACTAGATTACTGATGGTTTTCGTTTATTTACAGGAAAAATAGCAGTTCATCATAGCAGACATATAAATGTTTCATATTTAGGACATGTGATATCGTCACATATAAAATAACCTGGAGTTAAAAGTAATTTTATTTTATGCTCATTTGTCTTGTTTGACGTGAAGCAAACTGAGTCTACAGCCAGCAGACAGTTAGCTTAGCATAAAGACCAGGAACGGGTCAGAAGGTAAACAAATAAATACATCTGTCCACCAGAACCTTTAAAGTCCACTAGCAACTTATTTTAAATGGTACAGGCGTGTGCCAGACTTTCTCTCCGCCTCCATCTTAAACAATAGACGGCGCCTTAAAGACGGAGATAATAAACGCAGTTTAACAGTCAAACACCAAAGATAAGCATGAAAACAATCCTCCTCATACATGACATCCATTCACATCAGCACAAAGTAAAAAAACAAAAGCAGCAGCTTCCATAATTAATTCACAGAATATGAATTTGAAACGCTGCTTTCTAATAAGTTGCACTGAGCAACTCTAAACATTACAAACAGTAATAATCTACTCCACCACGTACCAAACCCCCACGATAAACTCCTTAATAATAATAACAATATATATCTTACTTCATGTACTCATCTAATGTCTAAAGCCCTTCAACTGATTCCAAACGGTCTCATTGCATATCAGGAGACAGAGTTATAAATTCACAAAGTAGGACAAATATAAATAATTAGATCAAAATAAAATTCACATCTTACGTTTTTAGAACACACTGAAATATCATTTAAATAACAATTAATATCTGTTAATTAACTAACTGATTTAAATGATTCTTAATAATATGGCTTCCGTTTAACCCTCATCTCTTTAGTTATGAGCCACTGAACCATTCGGGGATCATGTGCTTATTAAACTGTCCAGCTACTCTGAAACATGGGAACAACTATGAAATACTCATTTTAAATGTGCAAGGAATCCTCCGGTATTCAAAGTTAAACGCGTGGTCATGGAGCTCTTTTCAGTGCGTCTGCCTCGACACGGCGGCTTTTAGCGCTTCCGTTTGGCGGCCATGTTGGCTGTGCAGATGTACTTTTTAAACTGTATTTTTTTCAATATCTGTACAACTGTAAATGCAGACAATTAAACTTTTTTCATTTTTATGAAACCAGTGTTTACTGATGTTTATAGATACACAATGTGGTTTGGTGAAGATACGGATCTCTTACTTTACTATAAATGTTCACGTAAACAAAGACATAGTCACCTAAATCTTTCAAAAAATCTCCTTATAAGACCATTTCTTTTTATTTGGAGAACGGCTAAATGAATCAACCACTGCGGTGTTTATATTGATCTGGTGTGCAGTCATTTCTGCTTCATTATCCCCCTCTGTTTAACGAATCCTGTTTGCTACTGAAAACCTATTGTGGGTGTGGTAGCTGTATAAAGCTCCAATCTGGACTTACAGGAAATGCTAAAATGCTAACGGCTCACAAAAATATCAGCACTAATGAACATTTCCAGATAACGTTAATATATTTGTAACTATGTTTCCCATGTGCATTGAATGCATCAAATACCAAAAACAAAGGAGCCGGGGCGGAAAGAGGGCGGGTGACCGCCAGGAGGCTGTTGTCACGGTTACGTTAGCTCGCTCCAACTATAGGCCACGAACAGCAGAACTAGGCAGAGGACGTGAAGCAGGCTCGAGCCAATAAGGTCCCAGATTTGCCAGGCGGGAGGCGGGGTTTGAGTGGTAACGGAAACCAGTGACGGAGTCTCTGCCACCCTGGAGGAGGCGGGGTTTGGAGTTGAGATCGCCTTTTCCCGTTTCCCGTTTGAAGAGGTCGTATCCAAGGCAAACAGCGTCTGAACTGTGTTGCAAACTGGCTGCAGGCGGCACTGGATGATGTCATAGGGCGAACAGAGGGAAGACTAGCTCCCACATTCGTAAGATGGAGGAAAATAAATGTAGGAAGGGAAGGAGGAGGTGAAAAGGCCAGAGGGTGGAAACGGAACAAAAGTCCGAGGGGAAGAAAGGAAACGAGGGAGGAGGGAAGGGAAAAAGCCAGGGAATGATGAAAGAGGGAAGAAAAGGAGGTGGAAACAAAGTGATAAGAGATGAAGGAGATGAGGAAAAGGCAATGGGAAAAGGAGGAAATGAAGATGGAACATACAAGAAGTAAGAAGGAGAAAGTAAGAAAGTAGGCGGTAAATAAAAGTTACAGCAAGAGAGAATGTGAAATATTTACAATGAAGGGATGAGGTGGAAAAAACAAAAACAAGAAAGAACCAAAACCCAGGTGGAGGAAAAGTAGGCGGAATGGAGGAGATGAGCGGTGACAAAGAACCAGAAGTAGATGGGGAAGTAGAGGGAAAACAATTTAAAAAGGAAAACAAGAGGAATGATAAGAAAATGGGTAAGAGGCAAAAAGTTATGTTAAAAAAGAATAAAACAAGAGGGAGAGTATGAGGAGGACGTGGTGCATCCAGTAGGAAAGTAAAAAAGAGAAAGAAAAGGCAGGAGGTTAACTCAGAGGTCAAAGGCCACAGACTAGAGTGAGAGCTGGTGGTGTGAGGGGGGAGCAGGCAGGGGTTACCATGGCAAAAAGCAGGGATGCTTACTGAGGATGGAGAACAGTTTTGAGCTCCCCTCTCGCCCAGTAAGCAGACCATGAAGAGGAGTGGCCCAAGAGGCTGATGGGAGAGCCAGTGCAGCAAGCCAGCACAGAAGCCATCATTAGCACGTTAGCACAGAAACTATCATTAACACAATGGCACAAAAGCGATCATTAGCACATTAGCACAGAAGCTATCATTGGCAAGTTAACTGCATAATTGTGGCCAATAAAAGTTCACTAGTTGGCAAGCGTCCACACGGAGGTAAGCAGCACAGATGGAGGTCAAAGGTCAACGAGTCAGTTCAGATCAACAGCTCAGAAAAAGTATTAATGTATATGTGTTATTTGCTGTTTTCAACTATACTTTGATAAGAAGACTGATACTGTACATGTTTGTATACTATAAAGCTAAATATAAAGATTAGCTTAGCACAAATAATGGAAAATAATGGGGGAATAAACGAGCCTGATTTTCCAAAGCTAATTAAATCTTCTGAACGGCACTAATGAACGTGGCTCATTTTTTGAATCCATACAAAAAAAAAAAAAACATGTCCAGAGTCAGGACACATAAAAACACACAATCATACACACACGCACACACACAACCAGAAGCCGCTCTGTTTCAACCCGATGCAGCGGTCATGATGGTGGGAGCTGGAAGCCATAGGCAGCGATGATAGCGATGATGATTAAGCAATAACTTCAACAATCAAACAACGGAATTTAAAAGCCATGAGGAGAAAAGGGTAGGAAGATTAAACCAGTTCTGGGGGAACGCTGAGCGGTTCCCATGTTTTAATCTAGAGACACAAAACATAACCCGGGGGGTAGAAGACGTTTACTAAATTGTTTCATTCAGCAGTTCTCAGTTTAAGATAATATTTATTTAATTCATTCTAAATGAATTGTTCAGGCTTGTGATCAGGTGACAAAAATTGTTGAGAACATGTGCTGTTAAAAACATGGAGTCATCAGCCTTTTCTCCCAGATCTGGTTTACAGTTTACTGTCGTCATCACTGTCATTCAATTACCCTCCATTTTTGCTTTCCCCTCACTTACCAAACAAAAATCACAAGCTAATGTGATCACTTTTATACTTTTTACTAGTACTTTTACTACTTTGTTCCCCTCAGACGCAGACGGCTTTCATGTGACTGAGGAGGAAGCCTCTGTCTGATCAGTAGTTATTCTTGTGAAGCCAAAGTGCAACTGTTGCATTAGGAGGGAAATTCCTCTGATGAACTGGGGATGTTTTCAGGTGCGGGGGTTGCTGGTTCAAAAACCAGGACTGACTTGAGCAGCAGTGATGCTGCCCGGTTTGTTTAGAAATGATAACTAGTTATGCTACAACAAGCCTTGATAGAAACGACCCCCAGTCCAGAGAGGCAAAGCACTGTAGTTGGTAAAGTTATCATAAACCTGTCTTACCTCCGACAGGCCGATCTTTCTGCAGGCGTCCAGGAAGTTCTCTACGTTTCTCCGACACTTGGCCATGCTGAGTTTGGGCTGGAAGTACAAAAAGGCACACAAAGTCGATCTCGGGTTGCAGGGCACCTTAAATATTCCTCTCAGGGGTCAAAGGTCGGGACTCATACGCACCACCGCAGGGGATGGAACGTGGATGCTGCCGACGGAGCGCGGGCGGATGTGATTGGCCAGGTGGCAGAGGACGACGCCGTCCATCAGAGACGACCCGAGGTCCTCGGGGAGGACGACCTTCAGTCTGCTCTCGATGCTCTGAGGAAGGACAGAACGTTAGAAGCAGGTGTGTGAGTCGATACCAAGAACGCAGTCAATGTTTTCAACCGACAGGTTGTGTAATCATCTAATATTTCTCTCTATATACATTTTTTTTAAAAGTTGAGTGTAAGTCATGACTAATTGGTGGACAGAGCTTTCTCTTTTCTCTTTAATCGCACTAATGAGTAATAAAGGTGACCCACGTCTCGCAGCTGCTCCGTGAGCTCCAGCTCCTCTCGCAGCTGCTCCATCTTTCTCCTCATGGTGAACTGGGGATCAACAGACTCCAGACTCTTGTGGCTCCGCAGGAACACTGAAACAGACGAAGAGGAAGAAGCCGGGCGGCGTTGGGAACATTCACACAGCAACACACCGCTGTCGCTGAAACATACAAGACGGGCGGGGACTTCTGAGGAGGAACGAAGAGGTTAAATCAGCGAGGAGATGCTCAGATTTTTCAAATCTATCCATCGGTCTAATGCCAGCGCTCTGCCATTAAGTCTCTTTCATGAAGGTTATCATGTTGAGTTTGTGTTGATTCATTGGTGTGATCATTTTGAAGGATGCTGCGGACGTGGTAACAAAGATATTGAGGTGTCTTTGTTACCGAGCTTCAGTTGGTACTTAAGCAGCAGAATGGATGCAAAATAACTGGGCACAAATAAGCCAAGTGACTTCCTGGACATCCACATCTGCACTCAGTGACACAGAAAAGACCTTTGGGCCATGACAGATGTGGGAAGCACATGTAAGCGAGCTAAAAAGATGGTAGCCGACCCCTCTCACCCCGGACAAAACCTGTTTGTGCCCCTTCCATCTGGCAGGAGGCTGAGGTCCATCAGGACTAAGACCTCCCGCCACACCAACAGTTTCTTCCCGTCGGCAGTCGGGCTCATCAACAGAGCCCGGTCCCCCACTGACTGACTCTAACATTCCACCGGTCACTCCCCTTCACACTGCACACGTCACTTTAACTGTAATTTATCACTTTGTCGTCACTCGTCACCTTGTTACTTGTTCGCTAGTGCACTTTATGCTTAATATTTTTCAACTTTTTTCTTATTCTCTTGTTTTATACTAACCCATAGCTACTAACCCTTTGCATTAGCATTTTACTTTATTTCATGACTTTTGCATTGCTGTCTTGTTGTCTATTGTTACACTGTCTACTGTTACGCACCAACCGCCGAGACAAATTCCTTGTATGTTTGACATATTTTGGCAATAAATGTTTCCTGATGCGCAACATTCACTTACACACAGAGTACTTAAATAAGGGGACCAGATTAACAACAATTAGACAAAACGTGTTACAAGCACATGTGATGATCAGTGAGCCATTGAGGGGAAGGCGGGAGGAATCTCCCTGTAGACTGACTCAAGTTATTGGTTTTTCACCAGTTTTTGTGCCAAAACTAAGCTAACCAGCAGCTGCATCATTGACTGTGCACAGATGAGTTGTATCCACCTAAAAAACACTGATTCTTAGAGAGAAAGCCAATTTCCCAAAAATATCAAACTATTCAGAACGAGGCTGGGAATTAATAAGAACCATCAGAATCAGTAACATAAATAAAAAACAGAGTGAGAATGACGTATGGCCGCTTCACACAGGACCAAACACACACACACACACACACACACACACACACACACACACACATCCGCCACCAGGAGGCGCTACAGACAGTTTAATCCAGCTTCATCTCGTTGTGAAGAGCAGAAGACATGAAGTCTGCAGGATGTTAATGTTTTCTGCACTGCGAACCTGTTAAACAATCCTCACGGCCTGTAGCTGAACTAAGGACTGAACTCAAATACGAACATAAAAATGTGCTGGAAGTGATCTAGACAGCATATATTCTGTATTTATTGGGGAAGATCTTAGGCAGGTCGTTTTACAAGCTTCTCCTCCCTGCTGTAAATGTCTGAAACAGTTTGAGGCTGCAGCATCTCGTTTCTGTCTCCCATCCTCTGACGAGTTATTAAAAGATTTTGGAGGATATCTTTAAAGCCCTGCATGAAGGCTTGTGAGTCTTTTTGTTATCTATTTCACCAATTACTCCTCGCTGGCTAAATGTAGGAACCTGCTTCTTTTACAAGATCAGTCCACGCTCTGGTCTGCAGTCCGTGGAAGAGAAGCTGCAGATAAATAATCTTTCTGGTGCTGCTGACTGGCGGCGTTAAGTGGTGTTCAAGCTCTTTCCACACATTCACAGCACACTACAGCGCAACGCCGCGTAACGCAGAAGTACAACCAACCACTCCTTCCCACAACAAGCTGCTCTCGTGCCTCTGACTGGTCTCGTTTCCATGGCAATACCACCGAGACTTATGGGCATCACAATAGTAGGAGCAACCAATCGACAAACACCAGATTAGAAGTCGAGAGGCAACGGTTGCACTTTCACAAAAATCCTAACTATTTTTTTTTTAATCATACAGATGGAAAACCTAAAGACTCCCCCAATCAAACCCCAAACGCCTTGATTACCCCCGGTGGCGGGCTTGTTTTGGGACAGGAAGACAGGTTTCTGTGTGCGACACAATACATAAAGAAGTTATGGCGACTCGGTTCCGTCCGACCGAGCTGCACGCACGCATGCACGCACGCACGCACGCACGCACGGGTTGATTGGTTGTTAATGAGGTCAGCAGCAGTGGTGATGGCAGCGTGTAAGTCACGCTCCCCGAGGCCTGTACCCATTACAGACCATTAGTCATAACGTTATCACACTGAAACACAACCGCTCATGTGGAAACGATTCAGAAAACGATTCTGTAAAACATGGTTCTTATCTTATTCTGTTTTTGTGACAGTGACATCATCTGAGCGAAAGACGGATGTATGAATCTGGCTTCTGATGCAGCTCAAAGATGTTTGTCAGTCTACTTTGGGGGTGAAAGATAAACTTCATATGAAATGTAAACATTAAGAGTTTGCAGTTGCAGCCCAGTTGAAATGTGATGCTGCTATGATGTACTATGGATACCTTGAGTTCCTGTAGGCCCCGTGCATCATACACAGGTTTGAAAGTAAACTGGAAGAGTCTGAGGGCTTAGAAGAAATTTGTTAACATTCAGAAGTTCTCAGTGTCTGTGGACAGTTTAACAGCTAACAGTCGCTGCTAACTTCCTGCAAAATATCAAAGCCTTATATGGACCAACTGAGTGAAACACACACACACACACACACACACACACACACACACACACACACACACACACACACACACACACACACACACACAAAATCTTGGGCTCCGCCACAGTGGAAGTAGGATACTCCTTTAGGGACAATTATCTAACACTTAAAATATAGGAGCTAAAAATACAGACTTGTTCACAGACAAAACGCAGACTTCATTCATGTAAGGTTGCCACTGGAAATGTTCTAATCCAGGGATATCAATTAATACAAAGTTGGGAAAACTCTAAATATCAGGGTAACTAACTTAATCCACAGCAAACCCTAGTTTGTTGCCATACTTTATTTTAACCCCTTTTATATGGAGCGCAAAATGAAAAGGTATACACGTCAACATTGAAGTTTCTTCTTTAGTGGGGAGTTTAGATCATTTCAGACCTCCCAAGGCTCATCTTGCACACACCATGAATCTGCTCCTCTCCAGAATCTTTATATAACCAGCTTCAAAGCCTGTGCGCTAACTACTACAAAAATGGGGTCACACACACACACACACACAAACTGAATAAAACTTTTACCATGTGCGTCTGCAGCCAACACAAACACACTAAACGCTGCGGGTGAAAGTATCATGTGGTTAAGCTTCTCTTTGATCAGTGCATGCTGCTGCAGCCACACGCACACAATTTAAAACCCCCCAACCTATGGTCTATGGCAGAGAAACGACACAATGGCAGTCGACTCCAAATGAAAATTGGACTTATCGCGATGTCAGTCCATGCCAGAAGGAGGCGCTGGTTAGTTTCCATGGAAACGAACACAACACAAATTTCTGTTAGAATTATTGGAATTTCATACAGAAATTAAAATAATAAAGTCAATGAAATCCTCTTAATCTTATTTATTTGAAAATTAGTTCCGGTTTCCAGTCTTAATACTATGTTAAGTTAGCTAACTGTGAGCTACCTAATAACTGCTTCAATTGGTAAAAAAGGAAAAAAATGATTAGAAAAGGAAAAAAGGAAATGCAGCCCTGGATAAAAAAAAAAGTGAAGATAATCCCACGTGATTGGTCGAGACGTTTGAAAGCCACACCTGAGTCCAGGTGACTCTGCCGCCTCCGAGGCTGCTTAGTTAAAAGAAGTGGGACCTACCGCGGCTGTGCATGCCTCCGTCGTCATGGCTACGAGGCGTGTCTCTATGGCAGGGCGAGGCCTGTGAGAGGAGGAAGGGGGCGAGACAGGAAGGAGGGGGCGAGCAGGGCAGCGAGGGCGGAGCTATAACCAGGAGTTGTGAGTGGTCAGGGAGACGCAGGAAGTGGGCGTGGAGTGCAGGGAGGTGGGGCCACCAATGGTGAATCAAGTACAGCAAGGCAAAGTTCATTCCACAAAGACACACCCCCAAAACACCCATGGCACCAGGATAGGATGTCCCAAAAAAGTGGTTGTTAACAGAAAAAAAAACATTGAGATCAATGGGAGGCCGGTATTTAAACAGGTAGGAGACATACAGGCAAATAAGACCAGATGGTTTTCACATTGAAAGTCATGCAGCAGATGAGTGGAAGGAACAAACAGAAAAAGACAACATGGAGATGGAAGCAGGAGATGAAAACAAGTAACACACAACAGCACAAAAACAAATTGAATATTAGTGGTTCACAGAGAGATCACTTTGACGTGCTGTTAGCATTTGGTTAGCTCAATTAGCAGTTAGCAACATTTCACGCGATGGCTAGCAAACAAAGGCTGAATGGTTGCTAGGTCTAAGAAATAAAAAAAATAGAGCATGGGACTGGGGTTTGCTTTGATTCTACGGACACAGCGGACAAACATTAGAATTCTAATTCTAGTAACTCTGGATTAAATTGTGTTCAAACTAACCCGTATTCAGGATGGTGACTTCTATATCATGGCCCTGTGTTGTCATGGGAACTCAATGCCTCATTACCTTTGCTAACTAAAGTAGATTTGAGTACTGTACTTAAGTGCAATTCTGAGATTAATCTTTTTGCATATTTCCATTTTCTGTTGCTTTCTCCATGCGTGTCAATGTCAAGGCAGGTGTTCAGACACAAATATGTTTTATTCTGAGCAAGTTCCTTCCATTATGACTATGACTAATGTTCATACTGATTAACACAACCAACAAATGAAGAACACCTCATCGGGAGGGATCCGTTTTCACAAGCACTCTGATGAGGAATCAACCTGCACGTCTGGTAGCACAGGTTTCTGGTCCACCTTCTCATCTCAGATCCAACTCACCTGAACGGGGCTTCAGTCCAAACACCGGGCTGGAGAAGGATGGAGGCCCGCAGCCTGGAAATCTGTCATGTCGCTGCAGCAACAGAAATGAAAAGAACACGGATAAGTACTCTGGCTCATTAACAAACAATGGAAGCACAATTCATTGAACAGATGAATGGTCTGGGTGCTGTGCTTTGGGTGAGAGACACACAGACTTACGAAGGACTCCACAGAGATATAAAGTACATAGAAACACATGTGATGAGTTCAGGGACCTGAAGTTAACCTCCAAAGAAAATTGCACTCAATGCCTCCCCCCGTCGTCTTTGATCATGATTCAACTTGTATAAACCGCAGGTCGATTCAGTGTCAAAATTAAGTTGAAATGACCTACATTTCCAGAGTAACACGACAAAGTCTCAAATAATCAAGTTAATCTACTGTATATAGAAATGTACTTTGCTCTTATGCTATTACTTTTGTCTTGGGCAGGATCCTGTCTGACTGATCCTGTTGGAACAGCGAGCTTAAGTCCCTCTGTGGTGCTTCACAAGACAAACACCTGCCCAACGCCTTTAGGAGGGACCAAAAGATGTAATCACAACGAATAAAAAATCAAGAAAACAAGAACCTTAACCCCAGGTGGAAATGCAAAGGGTGCAAAGGTTTATACTGAGGTGAGATGGGCGGGTGTCAGAAATAAGCTGACTGGAATTAGGTGTCTTGCTTGAAGCCACTTCAATAGTTTCTTTAACCTTTATCCAAAACCGGCTGCGAGATGCCCACAAAGGGCAGTTTGTCCTCGCTGAGGTTGTTGTGGTTCAGCTTCTTGAAATCTACCAATCGGTAAGTTCAGATCCTCCACTGTGTGTGTGTGTGTTGCCGTTTTGTCTTTCCCGCAAGTCTTGATACACACATACTCCGTGTGTTCACTAGTTTCTACAGAGCATTGTTGGACCCGTCTGGGAGAAGAAAGCAGCGTTGTTCTCGTTGTTTCTACTACTCGGTTTGTTTCTGTAACACACTGAACACTCAGTTTGAGGGCGGTGAGCTGTACACGTTGACGTCGGTTTAATTGAAGGCTTATCTGCTTTCTTTCCCAACATCACATGAATATATTCACATTTATCTCATGATGATGTTCTAACTGCGGAGCGGGAGTCAGGACTCGATTAGCCTAGCTTAGCATTAAGGCACTTTTGTAAATATAAATATTAAAAAAAATACATTTTTCTGTCAATGGATTCAAACAATTAGTGTGATGCAGTGGAAAATGATCAATAATCTTGGTGAGATTGTGCTGGTTGCGTATAAAACAAACAGGACACGGAGTGATGTCACATACCAGTCACTCCAGATGAACTCGTCACACACTGACATGCAAGACAGAAAGAACGTTGATTCACCTGCCACCACTTCATCAAAATCGACTTCATCACAGAGTGACTGGTGAAACGAAGCTATAAACAAACATTTTCTCACCCTGTTCACATGTGTGACCTGCTGCCCCGCGAGCCGTGACACATGTGAAAGCTCAGCGTGGTTTATTCGCTCACAGCAGACGAACACACAGGGAAACGGTGAGTTTACTGGACGACTGAGGACAGTTCCCTCTGAGAGGTGGACAGAGTCTACATCCAGGCTGGTGCTACCGTTACCTTGATTGACATATGCCACTCATACTCCCGACATGCAAGCTGGGCCTGAAACCTGGACTTCTCTAGAATCATCTGTCTCTTCTTCTGGAACTCATAGCCACCTTCCTCCATGTGCTGGTACAGAACGCATCAAACGTTTAGGCTTTAAATTACCTTAAGTAGTTTCTAAATTACTTGCATACTTATCGGCTTAAATTTACAGCAGCAAAGACCCGTTTACTTTATCTAACGTGAATGAACTTATCAAAGAAAACGTATGAAAGTGCACTACAGTGTATGTTTAAAGCCACATGCAGCATTTCAAAATGTCCGACCGTGGCGCCCCCAGTGGCAGCATGAAAAAGACAGCGCTGATTTTCTTCGTTTTTGTGCTAACAGTGACAGACATTTGTTTTTTTTGGGGCAGTTGATGTATAAAGCAACAGCTTTTCTGAAATTATTTTTTACAATAAAGGACTTCACACTTGAAAGACTTGACAAATGTGACAAATGTTTAAAGTATCGATTTCAAGTTTACGCTCCATTCTGTCGTTATGAAAACCCAATTGTTTTCTCACTAGACACAAGATGGAGAAAACATTTGTCAGATCATCAAAGACAGAACGTAGCAGTCACATTTGGCCATAACAGGGTCTCAAGTGAACTACCACTGCTCTGGGATTGTTGAACTATATAAAATACAGACGCGGTTACTCATTGTCACATTGCAGGAAGGCTTCCAACATCATTCTGTATGCTGATGACAACATGTTGTTTTGTTCTGTGTACGGACTGATGGTCAAGTTCTAAAGTTCTGCACACGGTACCTTTGGTGTGGGGATGCCGTCATCGCTGTCCTGCCCACTGGGGATGGGGGAGGGGGGGAGGGGGGGTGGAGGAGGACGGAGAGAGGGAGAGTCAACGCTCAGTTCGCATCCCTAGTAGCTAACGTTACAATAGCAGAACAGTTACTATGGTTACATGAGTTAAACGCATCTCACCTGATACCACAGCTTCCAACCACAAAACAAATATCTTACTTGAGGGAGTCCTCCACTGTGACCATCTCCACCGGATAGAGCTGAACTCCAGACAGGTCGTCCTGCTCCGCATTCACTCTGGTAAACACAAGACATTACGAAATCAATTTGATTCAGTAACACCAATACTTTTATCTTTAAACATACTAAGAGCTTTTTATAACATTTTGTTTCTTTAAGTATATCCTAAAATTCCGACAGGGGATCATTTACTTTCTTATTAACAACGGAAGTTTCAGGAAAACAAGCGAGTATGTTTCAACTGACAGTTGGGCAACACATGCATTAGTTAATTATTTGAAACATAATAATAAGACAGAAAGTGATTGCTTGTTGATAAATCAGGCTCATCTTTGCACATTTGATTTTACAACATATGAGGTAATGGGAAAACACACCACTTTAGTTAATTTTACACTGTTCTTTGTCCACATTTGCATTGATTCTCCGCAGAGTAAAGTGTGGAATCATTGCTATCATTTTGGCAGCCAGCTCCACCTTTGATGTTGTAATTCTCAGGTGTTGCGTCGGCTCTCACCTGCTGGGATCCTGCAGCAGCTCCACAGCCTCCTTCAGCTGGTTGATCATGTCAATCTGGAACTCTGTGCCGCCTTTCACCTTTGACCTGGGACCAAAAAGACAATGTTATATCTCACAATTACAGTTGCAATCGTGGTCCATTATTGGGGTTACAAATAGTAACAACCTGCAGATTATTACCAATTTCACTCCTTAAAAGCTCAATAATCTTTTCTCTTTAAGGTTTTCTTTTCACTTTATATATCTTTACATTCATTTATTGTTCTTTGGCGATGTTGTACTCAACAATAATTATAAACGCCCTTGATCCCACAAAAGAAGCCTACGGTTAGGAAAAGAAAAACAAACGAATGAACCTACAGTTGTTGTGATGTCCAGTGTGCGTCTTCTTCTATCCTGAGGGGCTCGTCGAAGTCTGCTGCTGTCCGACCCTGCACACACAAACATGCACACACGGACACGCACACGCACGTCAGCACCAGCTGCAGCTGTCACATGGTGCACAGACTGGTTCAGCTATTGGCCAGAATTCAGGGACATTATTGCCGTCCCCTGGTACACAAACTCAACAATAGGGAATCTGTAACAAACGCTTCCTCTCCTTGATCAGGTCCTTCCATCCTCCAGTCTCCACTCGTTTACCCTCGTGGGAGGGATGGGTTAACTGGGAGTGATTAGTTACGTTACAGGATGGGGAGGTTGAAGAGGAACCAACGCGGCTCGGACCGAAGTCCGATTTTCTTCTTCTTTTTTTTTTAGCGTGAGAAATTGGATGTGTGGCAGGAGTGTGCGTGACTAAGGACCGAAATGAGTGACTGTTACGCTCAATGAGTGACACTTGAGAGCACTCCATTATTGTTGGTTAGCTGTTGGCGCGAAAAAAAGCAGGAGGCACCGAAAAGCGCGCCGTTTGCATCCCTGTTCTTTGTTTGTTTCCATTGTCTCAGATCGTGTGACTCGTGTTACGTGTTTCTTGAGTTGTTTGATCCATTTTTAGTGATGCAACAGTTTCCCCTGATATCAGCTCAGTAAGTCAGCTCATGAAGCACTGAAGCGTTTTCTGACCGTTGACTGCGATGGTTCGTCTTTGGTTGCGGTTAGGGACGTTGCCATAGTTACACTAATGACCACAACTTACTGAACTTCACTGCTCGGCTGAACGATGATTCATCACAGGGCTCCGTGTTGTCCACTTTGTTTTGAGTTTAGACCTTATTTGGTCACGGCTGAGTCTCCACAGGCTCACTGTGACGTAACCAGCTATAACAGGACAGTCTCTCTCACTGAACGCCGCAACAAACCTCTAACTCCAAAAGCAAATGACTGACACAAAGTGACAGTCAAGGCTCCATTAGAACAAACCAAAGACCTCAGGAGCAGCGGAACCAACGCTGGAACAAAGTGGAGCAGCTTTATATAACCCCTCTTCCCTCAGAGTGCGTCCTCGCTCATGAAGGCATCAATCTTTAATCACAAACTGACGGAGGAGAAACAGCGCAGCGGGAAGTCTCGCCTTGATGTAGTTGACGAAGCGAGTGCTGAGAGCGGAGTCTCGGTAGCTGAACTGGTCCTTCAGGGCTTCCGTAGGGCTCTCCTCGATCAGACGGACTGAGTCGGAGTTTGGGTCTGCTGGAATAAAAGGAAACAGGAATTGTGAGGAACGTGAGAAGGGACTTCCGCTCTCTAATGGGGAGAAAAACTAAAACAAATTAAAGCTAAATTATTTATTCAATTTTATATTTGATATCACAAATGTTTTACTGTTCTATAGTTTTGGTATTCCTTTTTTATTTTAAAGTTCCTTTAAAGAAGTTTGTTTTTCACATTCAGTCATTCTTCCTCTCAAAACTCCAGGACACACCAGGACGCACCTGCGGGATATATGACATCACAACTAGTTTGGAGCCAATCAGGATCCAGTATTTTACTTACATGAGTGTGGTGTGAAAAGGGGAAAAGTGCAGGTCAGAAATGAACAATAGCACATGAGGATGTTTTAAAGAGTGACTGCTTTATAAAAACTTAAAAAACCTGCTATTGAATGAAGTGAATTATAATATGTCTATATTTTTGGTAAAATGTTAACAGGCTTTATCTACACCATTAAGACATTTTAGGGCCAAATAACCCAGACTACTCGTCTTCCCCCTCGTCTCAGCTCACCAGAGACGACCTTCCATCAGCTCCGACCTGAATGAAGTCTATTTAAACGCTTATCTGGGGAGCCGCTGCTGTTCTCTAAATGAGTCCAGATACTCACTCTCTCACACACACACACACACACACACACACACACATACACACACACAGCCAACCGCTTGTTAGAGAAGGAAAGCTGACTGAACAATCCGAAAAAAATAGTCAAGGAGTAAAACGTTTGCACACATTTTTTCATTTCTTCATTTTGTGTTTCTCCTTGTTAATCAAATGAATTGTCGGTTTGGACGTCTCGCAGCTTCTTATTGTTGAGGGAATTTAAAGAATAAAAATAGATTTGTTAATGTTTTTGAAAATAAACCATTATAATGCAGACACACACGGTCATATTTTTAGGGGTCCGGAAAGGTCTCTGTTCTGTCTGGTTTCCTCTGTGTGAGAGAGCAGGACACAAGAGTGTTGTTTAATCACCACCACGTCCTGTCCACTGTCAGCTGTGTGTGTGTGTGTGTGTGTGTGTGTGTGTGTGTGTGTGTGTGTGTGTGTACCTGTCAGGGAGCTGATGTGTTCACTGGAGTCGTCTTTACTGATTCCCTCCTCCTCCGTGATGTGGCTCATCGGTATGTTGAGACTCAGACTGTCTTCGTCTGACGGCTGAAACACAAATAAATGAACAAAAATTATTAATAGTTTTAGGATTTTAAGTAAAAAAAGACCAAACATTTACTGCCTCCAGCTGCTGAAATTGAAGAATGTATTCTGCCTTTTCCAGTTGTACAGCTCTGTAAACTGAATGTTTGGGATTTCGGACAAAAAATACATTTTAATATATTTCATACTGTAAAATGTAAGCATTGATAAGCATTTTAATTTGATATGAACATTATTGTGAGATTAGTGAACGATCAAACTATTTGATGGATTTACAAAGAACTTTCTAGCATAGCAGCTACTGATACAAACGTGCTTTGAGATTGGGTGTGTTAGTGTAACACTCTATAATGAAAAATGTGCCTTACTGCAGCTACAGTCGCATTATTTCACTCAATAAATGGAAAGGGTCAACATTATAAAATAATGAAATAAAACAATCAAGCTTTAATGTGAATGTCTCTGATAAGTGGAGTCTTCTGTGTAAATAAAACTATGCAAAACGATCACCAGAACAAAAGCATATGGAGACAATCGCACCACACACACACACACACACACACACACACACACACACACACACACACACACACACACACACACACACACACAGTACCTCGGTAGCGGACAGTCTCTTGTCTCCGTTGTCGCTGCCGACTCCTGAGTCGCTGTCCTGCTTCTTCTGCTGCTCCATGTCCTCCACACTGCAGACACACAACACGTGTCACACACCTGACACACATTCGCAAACGAGGTCTGTGTGTGTGTGTGTGTGTGTGTGTGTGCGCTAAATTAAGAGCATCGTAGGTAAAGTAAATCTCTCTAAGTGCGTTTCCATGTACATTTCACTCAGAAATTGAAAATGATTTGTCTGAGATGCAAAGTTTGTCACCTACATTGCTTTTGTTGATCAAATCTACTAGATGACAATTGTAAAAGCAGTTTTATTTCTCTTAAATGAAAGAAACGGAGATCATTTTGAAGACACCAACGATTTAGGGAACTTGTAGCAGCAGTGTGAACAGTCCCTCTAGGCAACTGAGATGTGTGCTGGAGTTGCTCACACGCACAAATTATGACATTTTAAAATAGCGTGAAAAATAAGGAAGAGCTAGAGGGAGGAAAGTAAAGAGAATACAACTGAAAGCCACAGAACTATAGAGTGGGGGAGACCACTGGAGAGAGAGGCAGCAGAAATCAGAGGAATATGTCACACACATCCTATATCAAGGATGTGTGTGTCTGCTCCCGAGAGGAAAGGAACCTTTTCTGCGGCCCACGTGTGGAGAGTCCTCTGTGTGGGCCGACATTACAGAGCTCGACATCCTCTGAAAGCTCAGGCTCAGTTTCAGCCTGATCACGGAGGCTTTTATTTTCTTTCTTTACTTCTTCACTTCTGAAAATGCCTATTCCTCATTCCTGTAAGCAGTAAACATTCCTTTGTTCCTTCCCTCAATCCTACGATCATTTAAATCCCATTGGCCACACCTCCGTCAACCGGCCTTTTGTCTACTCTGGCTTTTCTGGACTCCAAAAACACTCAAGGTGAACGTCACCAGCTGTGTAATCTCTCAGTTCCTTCGTTTATTGCCATTATTTGTTTTGTCCCTTCATTTCCTCCAATTGTTTCTTTATTACTTCATCCAGCAACCAGAAATAATACTTCATATAATTAAGGCCTAAATCTCTTATGGCAGACAGTCAGTGAGACCCAGAAGATCATTTTCAGCTAATGGAGGATTTGGCTGCAGCCTGAGAAACCGAGGACACTTAGATAAGAGACAGCGGAGACACTCCACATAAAGACACTTTTGATATTTTGGAGAAGAAGTGTTTCTGCTTTCTTGCTGAGAGTTATAAGAGAATAATCAAAGTGTTTTAAATATTTTCTTCATTAACAATGTGTGCAAGTGTTAGTGAGTGTTTACTCTGCTGAGACCGGCTCCCACTAACATTTAATGGTTGAACAATTGACATCAGCACAAAAAAAATGTAGGAAGAGAGATTTCCCATCATGGTAACCACACTGACGCAGAGGAGCGGACTGCAGGATATTTGACTGACCTGCCGGTGGTGGGCCGCGATAGGCTGAGTCGCTCTATGACAGGCAGGTAGAGGGAGTCGGGCATCTTCTCACTGCGACACGCCTCGATGCTCAGATACTTGAATATGTGAACTTTTCCTTTAATACAGATCTGAAAAGGAAAAGAAGATTAATCTGTCTCCTCTTCTACCACGACATGACAGACATCGACCTGACTGCTGAGTCACTGAACTCTTGGAGCAGCTGTTGTTTAACAGAGTGTCTTTCGTCCTCCAGCCGGTGAGAGGACGCGGCTCTGTGCAGTTTTAGATCAGCCAATGAAAGACAGTTAAAAAGGAATAAATATTTACCATTAAAACTCACACCACTAAACGTATTAATGAGACGTTTGTGAAGAAAACACAGTGACTGAGATGATAAATCAAGAGACGAGGCAGACGATCATGGACCAGAATACTGTGATGATCGTGTTCACAGGGAGATGAGGGACCAGATTTCTCATGTTGCGTGTAAACATCATATCCTGAATTAGATAAGAAGCAGGATAAAACGGGACATTAATGCGCAAAAGAAGACATGATAGCTAATACTTGGATGGAGCAGACCTGCTATTTACATTATTCATTCCAGCAGGCGGAGAGCGCTCTTCTACTCTTAACTTCCTGAAACACCAGAAGCCAGAATGTGTCCCTTCTGCCTCTGGTGAACTTCAAATCAAATATCGGAGCAGTTTTATTTTCTAATCTCAATCTGAATCTCCTGTAACAAGCAACTGATTTTTCATTATATTCTACTGCACAGATCAGGGATCAGATGCCTATAATAATATGATGTCGTCAATATGTCCTTGAGTCAGTTACAATGCTGCATGAAGTTCAGTTATACATTTGACGGATCTATTATTATTCAACAGGCTAATTATACCGGATTATACATTAAATAAAATAAACAATATGTTAAAAAGAACTAAATGTGTTTTTAATTTACGTCAATAAATAAACAAAGAAAGAACAATGAACACACATGACCTCATCTTGCATCTGGTGTGTGTGTGTGTGTGTGTGTGTGTGTGTGTGTGTGAGTGTGTGAGTGTGCACCTGTGCAGGAGGACTCTGAAGGGGGTTGTTTTCTAGCTGAAGGGACTGGAGGTGTTTCATCTTCCTGTAACACACCGGGATGGTCGACACCTTGTTACAGGAGAAGTCAAACTTCACCAGGGGAAGGCCGGCCAAGTCTGCAAAGAGAACACACACATACTATTTAACTATCTAACAATTTTACTATTTAACATAGTTTCTGCGTTAATTCACAGCGCCATACCTGGTTATATTTGGGTACGATGGTCTCACAAAGCTGAACGTATCGTACAGATTGTTAGTAAAGGGCATCGAGTCAAGTTGAGGCTTTATTAGCAGGTCGTAGCAGTAGAGTACAGAAATCTTATTCTATTTATAAGACTTAAAATCACTAACACCTCAAAACGCAGACGTTTCCCATCACAGAACAATGCAGCTGTTCTTTTCAGAAGTAGTTTGTAATTGTTAGCAGACCGTCGGACCGTTTCTCTTCGTGTGAACTTTCACTCCTCATTAGAAGTGAAATAACTGGAAATAAACGCCTTTACTGTATTTTTAGTCCCTGAGCGGTTACATCAAAGCGGAGTCACAAGACAAGCCTGCAGATACACATTTACACCAAGTACACCAGCTTTAAATGGTTAAAAGAAAGGTATTCACAACATTTTTAATGCACTTCATCACTCAAAATAGGTTGGTCTTTTTCCCCGTAAATCTTTTGATTATATTGATACCAACCAATATAAAAAGTTGTGAAATAGTAGTCTCTCTTCTCTTCTCTTTTTTTTCTATGACTTCCAAGTAGATTTATAGACTTTTATCCTGAAAGCGTAGAAAAGAGTCTCTGTAAAGTCTCATTTCAGGACAGATTTTTGACACGTATTGCATCAGTGTCATGGGCCTTAGACAATTAACTCCAACGCTTTGCATCAAAAATGTCTGGATTGAAATAGGATACAGAACACATAACAAGCTTTTTGTTTCATATTAATTAAACTAAAAAGAATAATCAGAATAGGATTAGCACCACTCAGCTGAAACAAATCATAGTCTAAACTCATTCGATCTAACCACATATTAGACTGCAAAGAACCCAGAGATAAACAGACGCAGTCAGTGTTACTTTTGGCTGTTTGAGTTTGTGAAGAAAATAGATTTAAAAGTTTTAGTACTCCTTAACGGTCTAACTGAGTCACTCTTTTGATGAGAGGTTTTCATTCCTGGTTTTTTCTGGCGCTCTCTAAATAAACTGTGTATTTTTAAGTGTGTGTGTTCAAAAGGGAAAGACAAACAGACTGATGGTGTTTGAATTTGTGGGAAGAAGAAACCATTCGTGGAGTCACATCCTGCACACTTATAGACATGAATTATGACACGGTGCTCGTTAGACTCCTTCTGACCACAGCTCATAATTAAAACCTTGTGTAGGAGGTAATAATGTCAGTTGGGCTGCCAGCTTACAGGATAAACATACATCATTCTTCCATCAGGTTTGTTGATCGGATCTTCAGACTGGAGCCTGACAATCTGTCCCCCCCCTCAATAAGGGACACTCAGGGACACGCATACGTCACAGAATCCAAAACCGACCCGACGAGTCGAGGCGAATAGATGGATGAATCATCCTGGCAGACGTAGAAAACCTCTTCATTTTGTGCAATCTTTCTGTTTTATAAGTAAATGCGTTCCGTGACAAACGATCAAAGAACACAGAGTTCCGTGAGATGTACAGACAGAAAGCTCCTAAAGGTAAATTTGATATTTGCAGTACGAAGCTCTATAAATAAAATGGACTTGACTCTAATCCAGCGTGAGGAGGAGGTTCACAATGCAGCAGCAGACCTCATCGCCTCAGGCGGACCAATGTGCTGCCACACAGGAAGTCCAACAGATAAGAACCAGTGTGGCCGCTTTGTGCCAATCTACTCCTCCAGCTTTCTCTGGTTCAGAAGATCTCATTTACACACTTACACACTCTGCAAAATGATATGTGATGCTCTCTGCCACTCAAAGCTTAGTCATGCCATACGTCAAGTGTGTATTAGGACTCTGTGGTCTCAAATGTCCCTCTGTGTGTGTGTGGTTTGTTTCATCTAAATCCCTGCTTAAGTCAATGTGAATAGCAGCTTTGTCTCTCTGAAAGAAAACTAAATCTTAGTAAGAACCGTCTCTTATGTACACAGTCGCCCAAAAGAACGAGCCACTCATTTTTGTTTTAGACACAAGAAAGAGAAGAAGTTGCTTCCGTCAGGAACTCACCTTCTGGCAGGACGCAGAGGAGGTTTCGGCGAACGTTCAGTTCCCGTAGCGCTTTGAGTCTGCCGATGTGGCGAGGAAGAGCCGTGATCTCATTGCAGCTGATATCCTGCAGAAAAACAAAAAAACACATCTTCTGTTCTTACCTCCTGGATGCATTTCCTTTCAGCATAATTATATATATATATATATATATATATATATATATATATATGAGAGAGAGATAAAGCCGACACTTTATCATAACAGAAATATGTTGATTTTAAATCCGACTGACTGGCTCACGGCAGCCGTCGCCATGTTGAGAGCCATGTGGAGGCAACAGATCCACTCCGAGTGTTGAATTGTGCACCTTTGATAGCGTGTGAATGTTTTTAGCGAACACGGACAGCACGTGAAGCGTCTCACCAGCTCCATGAGGCAATGCAGCTGTCCGATGGTCTCCGGCAGGCTGACCAGCTTGTTGTTGCTGGCGTTGAGAACCCGCAGAGGTAAACCACACAGACAGGCCGGCAGGGCGCCCAGCTGGTTACGGCTGCAACATAAAGCATCACTCCCTCAATTAGTCACCATCACGGGACTGTCAAGGAACAATTCAGCCAGACTGTGTTATAGGAAGAAAGCGAGAAGCAGCGCCCGTACATATGCCGCATTAAAAATGACACGTGAACACGTTATGAAACGAGCATGTTCTATAATGTGTGCTTTTAAATCCACACTCAGGGTTTTTTCAGTAACAGAGAGATGACAAAAGTCCTCATGGGGAGATGAGAGGGGGTATTAACTCATTACATCACATGTCATTTAGCTGACGCTTTTATCCAAAGCGACTTACAATAAGTGCATTCAACCATAGGGGTACAAACTCAGAAGAACAAGAAACAAGAAAGTGCAATTTCCTCAAATAAGCCAATTTACAATTTGCTATAGATGAGCGGCGTTACAAGTACAATTTAAATGCTACAATTTGTTAGTCTTTTAGTCGAGGTAGAGTCTGAAGAGGTGTCGACAACTCACATCGACAACACTTCTTTGGCTCCATGTTTGTACGTGTGTTTATATGCAAACATACATGTGAAACTAGATCAGATGGTCTACTAAACTGGGGTAATAATATGTGGGTCATTTCCTCTGTAACAGACAGTAGTCTGAACCCGACTATGAGACTCTCTCACTCACACAAACACACAAAGGAGAGTGAAGGAAAAAGAATAATAACAAATAAAAAAACATGCTGATCGGCTCGGGATGTTTGACTATTTTTAGGCTGAATTCTTACTCTGATGTTTGAAAGGAAGGTCTGACGGAAGGCAGAAGATTTGTTTATTTTTGTACAGTGAAACAATGACGAAAACGTGGATTGCTTGTAGCACTTGTGTCTCAAATCTGTAAAGCAGAGAAAGAAGACTCACCTCCACTGTGTTTTATCTGGAATTCTTAAATGTCTACACGAGGAGGGCTAAACTTAAGTTAACCGTTTTTACCGTCGAACGATCCTTTCCGCTCTCGCCGGATGCTTCCTCTACGAGCCACGCACTTCTGCTTTAAATAAAGTATCAACCTTGAATTGCGGTGGTAAGGGGGAGGGTGAAAAACGCATGCATGATTCAAACCTCTTCAACTTCTTCATGTTGTGTGTGAATAGATCCTACTAAGAAAAGCAAACAGCATCTTTAATGTCTTACTAGTAACACACACACACACACACACACACGACTGTGAAACCCCCTCTGACTCAGCTCTGAAAATAACTTTCAGGAAACATACGTGAGTTTGTCCAGCTGTTCACACACATTTTAGGAGGCGGAGGAGAAAATAACAAGACTCCTCTGCCAGCGGCTCGGTGAGGCTGGACAGCTGTGCTTAGACTTTAATGCTAAAATAAGCACGCTAATACTCAAACAGCGACCATGCTCATGTTCAGTAGGAGGATGCTACCACGTTGCACACCTTATGATGGATGGCGTCGAGCCCGGAGCCCGGACATAACACCGGGTTTCTATCACAATGTAACTTCTGGGATATCTAATAAAAATTGCTAAGTAATGGGTTCTCATTCCATTGCTGTTTTGTGAATACGAGTTATTGGTTGATGGGTAGAAGCAGCTGGTAGAAGTCATTTAAATGTAATTTGGTAGACTCTTAGTAGGATTGCATGGTTCCATGAAATAATGCTTTGATTTAAAAGAAGAAGAATCAGTTCAAATGGAACAAATCACGGCCAGAAAAATAAGGCTAAATAATTAGTCTTGAAAATGTTAAAAACTAATCTTAAATTTGCAACCAAAAAAACAGCTTACACTGATGAATATTTACACGCTACAATTGAATCCAAAGCAGCGCAACGGTTAAACTGCTCTGATACAGATGACAATGATCTAAGAACACACACACCTCTGTGTTCATGTGTTTCACACAACCAGATCAGCATTTATGAGCCTAATTAAATAGATCAGTCGTTACTAATTTACTTTGTGATAGCAGCATGACTGGAAAGTGTGCGTGTGTGACAATGCGTGTATATGTGAGTGTGTGTGTGTGTGTGTGTGTGTGAGAGAGAGAATGTGTGTGTGGATGACATGTCATGCTAATGAGCTGTGCTGTCAGTGTGTTGCTGCTCTTTAACAGATTAATTATCAGTTGAGCAGCAGAGAAGAAAATATCTGATTCACTAGAGATAAACACATGATGCTTCTAACCATGTCGCAAATCAAATAATATTTATGCGTTTTAACATTGTTCTCCAATATTCACATAGTCTCCTATCAGGAGCAGTGAGAGTCTCAGAGACATCAGCAGCGAACACCTTGACTTTTAAACACAACCTGATAGTGTGTGTTTGTGTGAAGGTCCAGAGTATCTGAGTATGTGTGTGTGAGAGAGTGTGTTTTTTATTCATATATCACCCCACTGGACAATTTCACCCCTCAGGCTCAATTGTGTGTGTTGCAGGCACACAAGCGCACACACACTCCTCCGTCTGTAATAATAACACCAAGTTAATTAAAGTACAAAAATAACTGACTTTTCCTGAGATTTTGTTTATAAAAGTATTATTTATTTACTATGCTATGATGCATCCTCAGTATATGAGAAACAGTCAGCTTTCAGTATGTAATACATGTTCAGTATGTAATAAATTATATGGATTATAGTTATGCTACATATTGCTTTTTTTTCCCTAAGTTTAACTGACATCTGGCTGATTTTTGCAGTTGAAACATTTTTTCCTGATGCTGACTACTAGCGGTCAACAGACTACCTGTGAAAGTAAACAAAACTGAGGGGCTTTCCTGCAGACAAAATCTGCTTCTGTTTAGAAAGTCATGCTTCAGATACATGAATTCTCCATTGTACCCAGAATGCAACAGCCTCAAAAGATCCACTAGTTCTCCCTGACATATTGAAGTGAGAAAAAGTGAAGAAAAGCAGGACTGCTGAGACAAAAAAGTAGATGTGTGTACCTGAGATTCAAGGAGGTGAGGGACTGCAGGGTGATGATGCTGTCCGGGATGGTCCGGATGCAGTTGTGATACAGGTTCAAGGTCTCCAAGGCGACCAGGTGGCAGATCTCCGAGGGGACGTCGGCCAGTCTGTTCTTTGAGAGGTCTGCAGAGAGAGGGGAGAATAAAACAGGTTTATTGATCAGCTTAGATTACTGACAGGTCAAAAGGTTAGAGGGAATGCTGATAGGGGATTTAAGAGTGCCAACATTATGACAGACATATTGTAAGATTACATTGTTTTATCAAGTTGTACCTAATAAACTTAAGTATAAAACAATACTCAATCCAGTCAGCCAACGATTAACAACATGTATCAGACGCTAACGCCGTCACACGCTGGTAAGTCAGTACTTGGCCGCTCAAGGCCAGGATCGATGACATCACATCCTGCTGTAGCTTAGAAACAACAACATCTTTAACAACTTCAGTTATCAGCTGCGGCAGAGAAACGTCAGGCCAATGACTCCACATTGTTCTCGAGAAGCCGAACTCTTAGGAACACATTTTGTTTTGTTAGCAGGAGCGAGAACTCACCGAGAGTTCATTTCCTGTGCGGGAAACAATCAGGGAAAAGTTCTGTTGTTCGGATTCAAACCCTCAATCTAACAAGACCAAGCACGAAAAGGCTACGTCTCACTTAATTCTTATTTGTGTAGAACGTCTTGTGGAGTCACTTCCTGCACTTGATACAGATTGCATTGTTGATTATCTACACTGAAGTGCTTATGGAAAACGAATAGTCACATTTGTTATTTATTATTAGAATTGGGCGTCGTAAATGGGATTGCCGTCACTTTTAATAGAGCGAGGCCAACAATGTGATGAACAGTTCAGCGGCCAAAAGGTGTATTATTTGACAAATATATTCGGTTTAGTTCGACATGAAACAAGATTGAAGCAGCTAGTTGTTACATTTCAGAAGCTGGAGCGAGAATAGAAAAAGAGAACATTTGTTTTCTCTAAATACTGCTCCTACAACTCCGATGTTGCAAATGGTTTACAAACCGAGGCAGTGATTCTGTCAGCAAACGCCGCAATGTGGATATTCAATCACACAGGCAGTGTTGCATCATGGGTCACAGAGTCACAGGAAGTGCTATTTAAAACAACGTGGTTAGGAAACAAAGAGCCACTCAGTCCTGCTTTCATTCTCCGATAAACACAGTCGCAGTCTGATTCAACGACCAGCAAACACGCTGCTGTTACTGGCGGAATGAGTGTGTGTGTGTGTGTGTGTGTGTGTGTGCGCGCGCGCGCGCGCGCAGTGTTGGATATTCATAAGCACTGTCGACGTTTAACCTCCAAAATAATGCAGTGTTGATCGTTACATGGTCTTTACCGCAGGGACCTTAGTCAAAAACACTTTCACACACACACACACACAGGCTTTTGGGGCACATCAGTCTCAGCGACACACATCTGTCAGCTTGCATGTGAATGAGTCTACACATGATGTCATGAGTAGTGACAACAGTGATGATAGAGGCCTGAGGTCATGTAACCTGACACACAATACTATCAGTATTACTACTATGGATACTACTGACCAACCCTGAATGACACTTCCAAAAAGAAAATATTATATAAATCTAATAAAGGATATTTAATTGCGGTTTTCTAATTTGTTCAGGCTTTGTTGTCTACACTATTTAGGGGGAATTGGGAGCTGAAATTGTTAAATTGCTTCATCAGATTGCAGAACATGTTATGTGTGTGTGCATATATATATAAATAATGGACTTGCCTTTTAAGGTAGATTCCGCTCCTTTGGCTCAGAGAGCGTGAGCTGACAGAGGGACAAATTCTGAACTTGTTTCAACACGCAGCATCACGCAGCTCAGCGGCCTTTCAAGGGTTCAGCCTCTGCTGATCGTAAAGACGACCATGAACGAGCTTTTTGCTCACTTAGGATTTCCAATTGCATCCATTTTATTGCCTATAAGTTGCCGCTGGCATCTACGAACACGCACTTCCTGCACAGATGTTTCACACTAAAAGCCTTTCAGCAGCTGAAATGGCATCATTTTTTAAAACATCTGGGCAGAGTGAAAGGAGGAGGTTTTCCTGACCGTAGCTTACAAATACTTATTGAAAGTAATTGTGCAGAGTTGAAGCAACTGGTCATTTAATCATCCGTGCTTTAACATGAAATGACACGTTTCCATCAACAACGTTCTTGATCACCTCGTGACCTCTGCGTTTCTGAACCAAACAGTAAAAACAAAATGCGTCCATTCAGATCCAATTACAAACTGGTTACGGACGGCAGCTTGCATGAATGTTTCCTGTTGAAGTGCACGGAGAGAACGCGTCTCGATGTGAACTACAACCACTCGAGGTGCAAACACTCAATGCAGGAATGTGGAGGCTGAGCAGCTGAGACACAAGAATGTCTCCTGCCTTCTCATTAACACAGAGCTCATCCAACAGCGCCGCGTCGGGGAAAGAGCAAGGAAGGAAGCGGAGAAGAATGGAGAACGATGAACCTCACGTTTAAATGGAAGCTCAAATACAACAGAAACAGGCGCAATTCAACGCGAACACTGAAGCAGCGAGCTAGAGGTCAAGCGGTTCCCCGTCACTGGGCGCGGTTACCGTTTAAAGGCGTCGCAGTCAACCGCCAACTGATCACGAGGCGAGACAGCGGAAGACCTTGGTGGCTTACCACCTCAGCCGCCGACTTCCTGCCGCCCAACCCGGATGAACCGTGAACTGTTCACTCCGTGTGAAAGAGCACATCTGCTCATCACAACCCAAGTGTATATCTTTGTGCCTGCTGCCTATTCTCTACGCTGTTATACTCGTCGTCTGCTTTGGAGATTTGCTTTTTATTGCAGCTGAAATCAGAAGACGTTGGCTGAAGACGTTTCTCGTCCTTACGGGTCAGATCCAAATTCAGCTCGCGATCTATAAAATAAGTCTATATATATGTATACACTTTGTGTGTGTTGTGGCTGCAGCCTCTGCTTGTGCAGTGAGACTCCTCCCTGCAGTACTGTAATGACAGGCTTCATCTCTCACACACACACACACACACACACACACACACACACACACACACACACACACACACACACACACACACACACACACACACACGAAAACCCAATGGATAGAATGGTATCAAATATTTCTGAGGCCATCTGAAACAAACCTCACAGAATGTGGATTCAGACTCCCTGAGCTAACCGACAGACGGAGGGTGGAGGTACTGGTGGTGGGTCAGTGAGGGGGGGTTCTCACCACTTGCTGACTACAGAGGAAACTGTCGGTCCAGGATGCTGAAGGTGCTGCTGCCTCAGACTCAATTTGTGCTGATGAGGAGGATGATGATGACAATGCTGAAGATGATTTGCTTGGTTTCAGTAGGTGCTGCTGTCTGCAGTACGCTCCGATACACAATACTGAATTAATAACATACACCAAGAGCACTGAGGCTGTTTAATAACCAGTTAGATATTTTACCAATGCCAATTCAACATTCGCTTTTACCTTTAACCCAGAGAAATATCTGACAGGTTGACATTTGATTATTTTCTCAGGTAAGTGCTTATTTATGAGACATTAGCCTTCTTGTTGATAATGGAGTGCATCCTCTTAACAACTTCCATCTTTCCCCATTTCTACCACTTTAAACGCAAAATCTTCTCACATGGGAATAAAATGGAAGGATGTTATTGGACAAAAGAAAGGTTCACATGAACTGAAGTCACCATGACGACAATGTCAGACTTTCTGCGTGGATGCAGAGTCACGTGTCTGTGCAAACATGCATGTGCAGATCGCTGTACGCATCAACGACTGCACAAATGTGAGTGCGTGTGCGTTTCATGTTTATCTCGGGGCAAAAACGCATATTTGTAAATCTTCCAAGTTTTTCCAGACCTAAACATAGATGTACAGTGTGTGTGTGTGTGTGTGTGTGGTGGCAGCAGATGGACGTGGGTCAAGAAATAGGTTATGTAGAAATCCTGAGGACAACCAGCCATTCCAACAAAAAAACATCCAAGATTTGCTTTATAAGGAATGTAACACACAAACACTCATGCATACACACACACACACACACACACACATCCCTTCCCCCCTAAACTCTTCCTGTGCTACTGGAACATTCCTCATCCACCAGACAAGAGATTTATATGGCCTTAAAAATTATCTCAAGTCCACTTTGTTTTTCTACTACCAAATATTTCTGTTTCGGGACGTGATTTCAAAAACGATCTATTTTTCTAAGTATATATGATTATTGCGTAGCTATTGCATCCAGTTCCAAGTTCCACAGAAGTGCCCTTTTTAGAGTCAAACCGCTTCATCTTTCTGCCCCTTTATACCAAACGTTTAATCACGTTAAGGTCAACGCACACAACTCAAGCACTCAAATTAACGTCAAAAATCCTTCGCCTCCTGCAGTTTGAACTCCCTATAAATGTCCATAAAGTGAGAATGAGAAACCCTTCACATCGCAGAGGTTAGTACAGCCGTGGCTACACTGGACTAGTTATGCATATGGTGACAACTTGCTGTAAAAAAAACACTTCCTGTTGCATTTTGGGAACTGACCAGGGGCTTTTGATGTTTTAATGATGGGTTTCAACTTAAATTCATAATGGCAAGAAGGAAAATACCCTTCATGTCAAAGTAAACAGAGCTCTACAAATTGACTATTGTGTAACAGTACGAGTAAGTGAACATCCACCCACATCCACTCACTCCTCCATCGTGAGTGGAGCGGCGCTCTGACAAAAGGACACGGCCGCAGCCGGAGGGGCTCAAATCCCCTTTTAGGACAAAACGGCTGCGGGTTAATTGACTCTTTCGCACAGAGAACTACGTTCACGGCTGATGCTGCTGCTCCGCCTCTTGACCCATTTTCCTGACTTCATGGAAGGGAAATGAGGACGAAAGAAGAAGAACACCCAGAAAGATCAGTCTGCGTCTTCATCGCACACACACAAACACACACACAGCTAATTAAGTTGTCACAGACATATTGTGATACTGCCCATGTAGCTAAAGTCGGTGTGACTGAAGTGTTGCAAATTAGCAACACTGACAGAGCAGCATGCTGAGAGACCTTGACTGGAAACACACACACACACA